GAGAGTCAAGATTCAAAAACAAATTCTCTCACCCTCCCGCGCTTCTGACTGTACCCAGTGCTTGTATAAATAAAGAAAATAAATAAATAAAAATAAATCTTTAAAAAAAACAAAACAAATTTGTCTGACTTCAAAGGGCACTAAATTTTACTGATGTTGTTTTCAAAACTTTTGCCCTTTTGATAGTCATGCTTTTCTTGCATTTTATGTACCTGGATTCTTCTAACAGCCAGGGACCTAAGACCACTTGGGAGTACATTTTATAAATTAAAAATACAAATTACCATGTGGTAATGCATTTTAACAATAATGGAGTTTTTCCCCATATAAACATCTTCAATGCTTGCTTAGTATTTGTTGAGCACAGAAAGTGCCAAACACAACATGAGGGCAGGAGTATAATTATTATCATTTTAGAAAGGAAAAATCTAGCCTCTGTGATGCCGCATTCTGCCTTGGAGCTCCTTCTCCATCAATGGAGGTGACTTCTCAAATTATTTTTCAGGTTCCAGTTCATCTTTCTGACTTGTCATTACTGGAGGGCCCCAGAGCTCAGTCCTTGTGTCTCTCTTCTCATTCCCCTAAGATGCCTCATGGTTTTGAGGCCCATCTCTGTTCTGATGCTTCAAAAATCTGTATTTCCTATACTAACTTCTACTTGAAGTAATGAAGGCTGAACCCCAACCTTAAATACTCACTGTCTATTCCACACCTCCACTTGGAAAATGGATAGATAACACAACTGCTACATATCTGAAACTGAACCCCTAACTTCCCCTAAACCCACATCTCCCATACTTATCTCCATATATTTTACTGCAAAGACTAAATTTAACTTTAGTTAATAAAATTGATAGTTTCAACAGTTTCCCTAAACAGACTATCAAGTTTGCTAAAATTTATGATCTGAGGTTGACTAGAAAATATATCTAATTCAGGGTACACACACACACACACACACATTTTCTAAGAAATAATTTGTATACTTTTAATGGTATGTAAGTAAATAAATTCAGTATTTATAATTGTAGATACAGACATACTTCCTAAGATACAATGTTTCATAGTGTTAGTAATGTATAAAGTGTTAATATCAAAATCAAAGCCCTAAGCATATCCTGCCAGCAAATGAAAATATGTTTCACATCACTATGCATCCAGGAAACATACATTAATCCTACACTGGGATACCATTACACACCCGTCAGAATGGCCACTGTGAAACAGACTGAGACTATTAAGTGCCAGTGAGAATGTGAAACAAGGGAAACTCTCACCTATCCTGCTAGTGGGAATGTAGTCTTTAACATTGAGTTGTGTCCAAAGTGGGGAATTCATAAATTTTATCAACCCAATATCATATACTCTGGGGAAGTACCATTTCTTTGTCTCATTCTTTTGGGGTTGTTCAACATATGTTTCTGCCTTCCCTACTTAAGAGCAGAGAGTGCACCACACCATCGCACACACCGATCATATATAGACCAGCCTTTTAATTAAGCTAAGTCACCAAGCATCTTTTAGGGGAGATTCAGTTTTGTCTCTTTCTTTGGCATCATGAACTTTCCAGATAATGTGAACCTGTGTCTGCTGTCTTGCCATGACACAGGTGAGCCTTTCCCAGGCAAAGGGAACTGCGAGACAGAATTCCTCAGACATAACTGCATGTGTGTCTGAAGCCAGGATCCATCTTGGATGCCACCCCCTTTTGTAGGCTAATAAATTTCCTCCTTATTAAGCTAGTGAAAACTGGGGTTCAAATCCCAATGTAAATGTTTTCTAAGATAGGGCCTTTATAGAGATAATTAGGTTACACGATGTCACCAATAAGCCTGGAGTCCATAAGAAGAGGAAAAAATACCAGGAGGGTATGTGCACAGAGAAAAGGTCATGTGAAGACACAAGACAGAAGGCAGCTGCCTGTGAGCAAGGGGAGAGGCCTCACCAGAAACCAAGCCTCTTGGTGACTTGAGCATGGACCTTGACTTTTTGGAGCTATGAGAAAATAAATTCCTGTTTTTTTTTTTTTTTAATTGGGTTTCTACTGATGGCATATTCATTTTTTTTAAAGATTTATTTATTTATACAAGCACTGGGTACAGTCAGAAGCGTGGGAGGATGAGATAATTCACCAGAGCCAGAACAGGGAACAGAACAGGCAGACTGACGAAGTACACTGCTGAGGGGAGCAGCGGGCGGTAGGAGAGGTCTGCGCGCCATGTGGGACCCTCGCGCGGTGGCCGGGGACTGAACCGGCGCTGCAGAGGCTGCGGGCAGCTTCGCAAAACTAGCGCTCAACTGCTGCGCCACTGGGGAGGCCCACTGATGGTATATTCATATACCACTGAGTTACTGCTCCTCACTTTCCAAATTGAAGAACTAAAATTTTCAACTGCAATATCTGCTTCTATTTGGCTTTATCGGAGGGTGATAGAAAGGTATCTGAACAGAGGCCCATAAATTCTATTTTATAAATTCTCAAAAGTTTAATCCCTTTGTACTCCAAACTATATCATGGCTTCCTTTAAAGATGAACAGCTTTTTATTTTAAAAGCTTAATTGAGGATTTTTATATCCCAGTGAGCTGGGCAGGCTCGATATCACCATTCTTATTTTACAGAAGGAAAAGATGAAACAAAAAAATTAAGTCATTAATTCCTAACATCTAACATCAAGGTAGATTGGTAAAATGTACAAAACATGAATCCACACAATCTAATATCTCTTTCAGCACATTTTCCATTAGGGTTCTATGAATATATTATGCATAAAGAAAGTTGATATTCTTTTGATCAGTACTTAACCTGGATTCTAGGAAATTAAAAACCAATGTTTAACTCAAATTCATCAAATAAAATATCAGTATATTTGGTGCCAAAATTCTGATTTACTATTTTCTTATGAAAAATCTTTTTTTGTTTGGATCCTATTAAAAAATTTAGACAGTTTGTTAAATTTTAAATATTAATTTAATTTAAAATTAACTACAAATTTAATTTCACAAATGTTAGACATTTTTCTTACTTAAAAAATGAAAGTGGTAAGCTATTTTTAATAGGAAATTGATTTGCAAAGTTAATTTATATAATTGGACCTTTCCTAATAATTAGTAGGCAGTTATGTAGAAAGAGTTCATTTTGCTCCTTTGAGGAATAAAAATTCCAAAAGTTGTAAAAAAGAGAAAATGTACATTTTGTTAGGAAAAATAAAGGTTATTGAAAACCAATAATATTAATTGAAAGTATGACACATTCTGATTTTCTAAGGCACCATTTTTACTTCCTTTTCCAAAACCGTCATTCTCAATTATCTGACCGAAACTATACTTACTCTCATCTTTTCTTTTAAGATTTATTTATTTTTATACAAGAATTGGGTGCAGGCCAGAGATGCAGGGGATGAAAGGATTCACCAGAGACAGAGTGGGGAACAGAACAGGCAGATGGACCGAAGAACACTGCTGAGGGGAGCAGTGGGCGAGACAGGAGAGGTCTGTCCCATCATGTGGGTTTCTCCCTGGCCGCCTGGCCGGCCCAGAATTGAACTCGTGCTGCAGTGGCTGCAGATTGCTTCATAGGTTGCGCCTTAACCCCTGCGCCACCAGGGAGGCCCTTTACTCCCATCTTAACATTTATTTCTGTATCCCTGGTATCTGCCATTTAGCTCAAGAAATATTTGCAGACAAAATGAATGAATAAATTAAATAAGTCAAACATCTGTCTTGATTTTAATATTATTATGTTGTGTAATAATTTAAATATATTTTACTAGTATAATTTTATCTTCATAACAGCCTTTTAAATTAGACATTGTTAGGACTCATTTGACAAATGAGGTAAAAGGGAAATAAGTTACATGGTCCAAATTAATAGCTAGACATCAATGGAGTTGAAAACAGAATCCAAACCATCTCATTCAAAATACAATTGAAAAACTATATGACAAAACAAAAAGAAAAGAAGGAGGGAAAGAAGATAAGAGAAAGGAAAAATAGAGGGAGGAAAATTTATTCCTGAATTTTCCATGTCAAGTGGCTATCATACCATTTATCCTGCTGAGAACTCCTTAAACATCACACATTAAGCCTTTTAGGGTATCTCACATGTCTCTAAAACATTTCAGGCCAGCAGACAGATTAAGAACACTTTCAAGCAACACTATTCTATATGAATCATACAGAGTGGGAAGCAAAAGGAGTTTGCAGTTGTAGAAAAAGTCTCTTCTCTCCTACATTTCAGCAGGTCACACTTGCTGATAAAGTCAGGTCACATAATCAAGTCTTATACTTGCAAGAAGTATTTACAACATGATTTAAGTCTCAATTTCAGGTTCCAATTCATTCTCATAATTTTTCTGCATTCGTCAATATTCCACAAAACTTTAGCTCTTTCCTAACATTTACAAGTCAGATGAGAGCATCTTCCCAGTTTTACTATAGTTGTAAGGGTGGAAAGACAGTATCTATTGGAATCATTATTTAAAGAAAGAATAGCCCACTGAACTTCTCATTTTTAATCAATAATATTTGATGCTTTTTTCCTTTCTTTGTCCCTAAAGCAGATGGTCAAATGGTAATTTTCATGAATACTGATCACTGGTTTCATATTGTGGAGTCACAAGATGTAGAAAGGAATTCCTACTATTCCCAGTCTCCTTGTAGTAAAAGAAAAAGTACCAGCCTCTAAGTTAATAAATTTTTGTGATTTGGTGAGGAAAATAGTTTCCTGCCAAGGGCAACCAACATGTAAGAACTGATTGCTAGGTGACACACTCCTACAGAATGAGATCTTATTACAGAACCTATCGACACAGAACTCTAAATTGCTTAGAAGCGCCACTTTCCTCTTCCTGAACCCAAACAGAATAACGATAGAGTATTGATGAAATTCTGTCTGCTTCAGGTGCATATAACAATTCATTCTTAATCCAAAGTGATTTATCAGGTACAGAGAGTGATACATCCTAGAGCTTAGAGATCATAACCTCAGATTCTGACATACCCATTACTGAGACATCATATTCTATCAGCAGCGTTGCTTCTTGTCCACATTGTTTAAGAATACTCATTGCTTCAGCATGCGTGGTTCCCAGGAGCCGAATTCCATCCACACTGAGCAACCTATCACCAGGTTTGATCGTGCCTTCTCTGAAGAATGAATAAGGGAAAGTCTTTATTAATTTAACATAATGAAGCTTAGCATTAATAGTCACTTAGCCAAAGTGGTTTTTCACACCCGTTCTGCCATCCATCTTTTGCATTTGCATTTTCTTTAAGCCTCCAGTGTGACAATAAGAGAGTAAAGAGGTAACCCCGTACAGAAAATTGCTGCAATATGAAAATCAGTAATAAGAAAATAGCTACACATTAGCAAATAACTAAGTTACCCAGAGTTACCTCTTGGGGTGCAAGAGTAAAAAAGGCACATTTTCCCTTTTCTAGGTTTTTGCCTAAATGTCTAAAATTGACTTGTTAGAGCCCAGAAAACAGCATTTACCTATTTTCCCAAAGGCAGGTGAGCAAAAAAACTTGCTGATTCCATTCAATTTATTATAGTGAACCCAAGCAGGAAAAGGAGTGCTGGTGAAAAATTTCTCTAGTCTGTAAAATTTCCTGCTGATTTATAAGGCTCTTTGGTGATCATTAAATTGATTCAGTCTCAGATTCTCTGGAAGAGGCAGGCAGATACTATTATCCTTGCTGTGACCATAGGAACCCAAGGCATTAGGAGATGTGGTCTCAGGACCTTAACGACCCTACTGAGGAACAGCCAGGGAAGTTTCCCGATTATAATTCTCCTGCCTCAGGGACAGTCATGGAGATGAGAAAAGCAAAAATGGGGTGAGTTTTACAAATTTAGGATTTGGAAGAAATAAAAACTACCTTTTAAATATCTTTCCCTTAGATATCGCTAAGTATTTTTTTAACTCCAAGTATTTGACTCTAAATTTTTATTTTAAATTCTTCTATTTCCTTTAGTCCTAAATTAATTTGTTAACATGTTGTTCACAAACTAGTATCCTATTTCTGACATTTCTGTCAACACTAAATTTAAATGTTAATAAGAACTAGAAATATTCTCATTTGGTTTAAGAAGAATAATTCACACGATAAAAACCAAAAAGGAAAAAGGCAAAGTTTTCCTGGAATTTCTGATTCTGTATTATTCTCCGCAAAGGCAAATATTATTAATATTTAGCATTTGTGAGAAACCAGTGTCTTTATTTTCTCTCATTTTATATTAAACATTGTTTAAACAAGTGAGCTAACAGTACACGTTTGAAAGAAAATAAACCTGAATTCCTATCTTAGTCCCTCCATGTCCTACCTGCAAGTTATTTAATCAGATTGGGCCTCAGTTTTGTCATCAGTAATTATGGACAAAAATAGCTCATGTAGTGGGTGGATGTGAGGATAAAATAAAATCACGTGTGTCAAGCACTTACACAGCTCTTGGTACATGGTAGACGCTCATTAAAAAGTATTTATTATTATTACTATTTCTATTGCTTCACAAAAGTTTTTTTTAAAATTTCATCCTTGCCTGAAACAGTGCAAAGTCATGGGTAATCAGTGCATTTTCCTCCCACTCGTCAACAATATCTGTTGTCAGGAGTTGTGTTTCCTAACTATTATGGAGTCAGATTTTGCTGTGGGAAATTAATACGAAGGTAAAGTATCTCTGGAGACATCTAAATTACAAGTTTATTTGGAACTCCCTTCGGTTTATGATAAGAAAGCTGAAGGAGTATTCAAATTAGCAAGGAAGAGAAAGCTCGAGAGACTGCCTTTCCTTTTACTAAAAGCCACTCTCATTCTGACATAGAGAGTCATCACTGAAAGGTATTAATGGTGAGAGAATGATGATAATAATAACACGTGTCAGAACACCACTGTCTATCACTCCAGATTAGGAGATTAGCAACTGGAGATGGGGCATTTTAACTGACTGCCTATCAAGAGCCAGCCAGCTGCCTTCTGTTAAGTACCGCTGGTCTGTTAGGCCCTGCAAGGCACCATGTATCTCCAATCATTGATAAAACTGAAATCCTGAAAGGCAGGCATTATTATTGACATTTTGTAATGGAGGCTACTGAGCTCAGAATAGTTAAGTCATTTGCTAAAGACTTAGGGTGGTAAGATTTGATTCCGGACTCTTCTTTCTATTGCATCTGCAGCCTAAACTGTTTTTGTTTCCACATGGTAACATATTTACTTAATATCTATTTTTTATTATGAAATTTCTCACTCATTACTTCTCTGCCAACGTTCCCCGCTTTCTCTAATCTCTGGCTAGTGACACAGAAAGATGCAGTTACCTGTCAGCGGGCCCTCCAGGACGAACGCATGTTATCACAACTGGCCGGGATTTATTCCTATCATCATGTGCACCCCCTAGCCAAGAAAGAAGAACAGCTTAAAACATGCTTTTATTGTCGCCATTTAAGAAGTTCAGTTACAAAATGGGAATGAAGTACATTTTATTGATGTATGGGGGAAAATATGCAAAGTTTTCCTTCTGGCATATAATAAACAATCCTGCTCATTTTCACATTCTCTGGATAATACTTAGGAGTGCTATCACGGGGTCAATAATTTCTCTTATATGTGAAACACAAGTAACCAGAGCAAATGAACTAATAAATTATAATGAAAATAACTTAGACTCTGAAAAATATGGTTGTACCAGAGGGGAAAGAAAGGGTGGAGGGGGTCGGCCCGGTAATAATGGGAAGGGCACTAGAACATTGGTCGTGGGTAAAGTGAAACTTATACACACATAGAGGTGTGAAGCTGTATCCCCAAAATCTGTGTCATGTTATAAATCAATCAAATTTTATTTATTTATTTGGAGAACAGGAAAGGCAGATTTATTGAAATGCACTGCTGAGCGGGAAAGACCACCTGCCTAAATCAATAAAATTTTATTAAAAAGATAAAATAATAAAAAAAATCTTATTTATGGAATATGTTTTTGAACTCATAATTTCTTTGTCTCTCTGTGAGAGTATGACTATTGTCAGGGGATATGCATAAAATACATGAACTAATGTGACAAGAGCATTTAGTATCACAAGTAGCAGCCCTGTAAGAACAGTTGCCAATTACGTACAAAGTATCTCTGGCGCCTGTTCATCTGGGTGTTAGTGCAGGTGACTAAGTCTACAACCTAACGCAAAGAAAGCAAAACCTGAAGTCAAAGAAAATAGTCCAAGTAATTAAAAAAAAAAGAAGCGAAGAAAAACATTCAAGTGCTGAAGTGCCTCCATTAAAATTGGGATATTCAAAATACTTTGGGCAAATTTGGTAGATAGGTCAAATCAATTACAGTATTTAAATGGGAATTTAAATTTTATATAGGGAAAAATTCTCCTTAAGAATTCTTAGAACAGGGGCTGCCCTGGTGGTGCAAGGGTTGAGATGCAATCTATGATGATATCTGCAGCCACTGCAGCACGAGTTGGATCCCTGCCCAGGGAGCTACTCACATGGTGCAGCAGACCTCTCCTGTCTCACCTGCTGCTCCCCTCAGCAGTGGATTTTGATCAACCTGCCTGCTCTGTTCCCCACTCTGTCTCTAGTGAGTCCTCTCACACCCCCACACCTCTGGCCTGTACCCCAGTTCTTGTATGCATAAATAAATAAATCTTTTAAAAAAAGAATTCTTAGAACATAGACGTTTTGAGAAGGAAGGTAATTTGTTATAAATTAATATTTTTTAAACCCAAGAACCCCTTGCACAACTTCCATAACCTCCCCTAGTCTCCACCTGAGGCCCCCCAGTGTCGATCTACTTGTTAGCCTTGAGGCAGCCCATCCCACACCTAGACACACAAGTAAATAAGAGGGTTCTTCCTAATATTCAACTGACACTTCCTCCAACTTTCATCCACTGGTCCTTATTTTATTATCTAGGGCAGTGAACAAAAACAAAAGTTCACTTCTCCAAGAAAGTTTTCCTGAAAGTTGAAATCAGTGATGACACACCTATTCTGTTTCATCTTCTTAAGGCTGAACATTTCCAGTTTTTTGACCAATATTCATGCGACCTGCTTTCTTTGTATATCACCATCCTGGCTGCCCATCTGGGTAGTCTCTTGTTTGCCAGTAACTGATAAACATGACTATTACTGTCAAGTATTCCTCCTTAACGTTTGCTGGTAGAACAGGCTGACATTTCATACTTGGCACACATGGAAAGGTCAACGTAAAGAACCCAGCCTAAGAAAAAATTGAAGGGCTTCCTGATCCTGATGAAGGCAAATGTTTCCTTTATGTCCTCTACTGTTAGAAGGGACTTATTTAGTCTCACAGATCGGTCAAACCATTTCAGTATTTTTATCCTTTCATTCAGTTTGCTGGCTTCTTTTAAAATTCCTCTCTTCACAAAACAACTTTCTCAGGAAGAAATTTAAAATGAAAGTCATGACAATAATTTGCAGCACATGCTTTCCCTATATTTATATAAATATTATTATGTCACTTTACTTTTGCAAAGTTATAGAGAAATAGGTTTCTTTTTCCCCGAGGAGGCTTTGATTTAGAAAAGGTAAGGGGCTGAAGATAGCAGGAAAACCTTTCCACAATTTTAACTTGATATAGTAATCAAATATTAAAGTATGAGATAACACTCAATTTCTTGATATGTGACGCCTTATTATTATTTGAAATAATGAAGCAAGTTTAGTTTGTGATTCTTGGAGGTTCTAGAAGTTTGGAGCTTCAAAGCAAAACAAACTGGCCCCTAGATCAGTGGGATTCTCAATCCTGGGTGCATATCAGTATCACTACCTGGGATGCTTTTGAAAAATACCAAAGGCAGGGCCATAGTCCAGAACAAATCTAAATACCAGACTCCGTATGTTAAATGAATAGACCAAAGGACAATTCTAGAGTTGAGAATTAGACAACTTCCCTTGTTCAAAGCCAGAGTGCTTTTCATATTAACTCAAACCATTTCCCTTAGCTTGGTGGCAAGGGAGTGAACTGAAATTTAATTTTCTAAGATATAGGCCAAAACAACATTTTCATTTTATTGGCACGGTTCTATTGTTTGAGGAGTCTGGGTTTTAAAATCTGTGACATACAGCATTAGACATGCAACTCAATTCACAGTAACATGAATGGAGCTGGAAGGGATCATGCTCAGCGAAATAAGCCAGAAAGAAAAAGAAAAATACCGGATGGTCTCACTCATAGTAGAAATTTAGAAAAACTAAATAAGAGACCAGGAAAAAGACTAATTATAATAAAGTAAAAATCAAAAGTAACAAGCAACTATAAACCAGAGACACACTTTGGGGGGCAGGAGGAGGGATTAGGGTCAAAACAAGGGTGGTGGGAATTGTATGGGGATTATAACCAAGATAGAAAAGAAAAGCAACTCCATTTACCAGCTAAAAGCCTATCTTATTGTTCAAAGGCTTATTGCAATTAGTAAGAAGAAATTCTCTAGAACTAAATGAACATGCTCCATCTGCAATATCCTCTTCTTCCTAATTGGCCCAGTGTTCTCTATTGATTAAGTTTAGTTCAAATTTCATCTATGTCTTAACGTCTTATCTACCATGATGATTTTTACCCACAGAACTTTTTCAACCTGCAACTCTTTTTGAGATTAACCAATGATTCTCTCTGTCTTTTTTAAAGATTTATTTATTCGTGCATACAAGAACTGGGGTACAGGCCAGAGTTTTGGGGGTGAGAGGATTCACCAAAGAGAGAGTGGGGAGCAGAACAGATGGATCTACTGAAATACATTGCTGAGGGGAGCAGTGGGTAAGTCAGGAGAGGTCTGCTGCACCATGCGGGTCAGCTTCCTGGCCAGGGATCGAACTCGTGCTGCAGTGGCTGTGGATAGCTTTATAGTGCTGTGTCTTAACCTCCCACGCCACCAGGGAGGCCCTAACCAAATATTCTTAAGGGCTGTGTGGTGGTCACCTTTAGAGCAAGGAAGACCCTCCAGGTCGGCCTTATTAACATTATATTATCAGTGATCTTTAGGTGGTTGTGGATATTAATTACTTCTATTTTTTTTAGTACTTATAGATAAATTATTGCTGGTTTAGCTCTTTCTTTAGCATTTGAGTTGATATTGATTAACCACACAACAAAGTGATGAATACTTGCAACAGCAGTATTTTTTATGGTATTTTTTCCCTAATTGGGCTTACAGGCATGCTGTTCAAGAGTACCTCTCATTCATATTTAAATTATAAAGCCAGATTTGTATATAATACCAGCCAAACTGAAAATTTGGATTAGTTCTTTTATACAGAAATTTGGGAATAGTTTTTGGGTCCCTTGCTCTATGTAAAAATAGGACCTGTTCAGAAAAATATAATATCTACTGGTCAATGAGTTCCCAGTTGCCCATTTTCTTTACCACTCACTTGAATTCTTGATCAACTTATGTCTTAAATTCACTGGACTGTAATTCCCTGTAGATGGGGTCTTGTCTTATGACTCCATAGTTCTTGGCACTATGCTGACATGTTGACATGTCCTTAATAAATATCTGAGTGATTTGCCAAAAGATTGACATAGAATGGAACCTAACCCTTAAACTCAATTATCTGACATGAATCTATATAAGTGAACACATTTCTTTTATTCCTTGATACATGTCTATTAGGATGTTGAGTTAATTTTACTTACTGTTTTAATAATTTTTGATAGAATTTTGACTCTAGTTAAGTAAAAAGTGTAATAGATAAATAAATATCAAGAAGTGTGAAATGTTAAAAAATTTCTGATGTTTCTATAGCTCCCTATTGAACCTTACTGCCATACTAGGAATTACAAGTACAGATGTATATGTAGTCTTTAAGGGATGAAATTACCATACAAAAATAAAATATTAGAAGCCAGAATCACAGCTCAGAATGAATGGTTTCATAGATACATGGGAGCCACTCCAAATCTTTATTATTAATGTCAACTCATAACTAAATGATTTGAGCTGATACACACAGGTGCCCAAGGCATTAGATCACTTTCAATTCACTTTTAGAAAGCTACAATAACAAAATATATTTCAGGAAAAATTCATTTAAACAAAGCCATACATAACATTTTTTTGCCTCAGTGATAAAGGAAATTATAAAATAGAAGACAAAAGACATGTAGAAAAGTGGAATATTATTATGATGATTGAGATACAAGGTTTACAAATACTGGCTTTTTCTTTATATTAATGGGCTGAAAATAATTCTAGGTCTTTTGGATACTAATTTTTCATTCATTTCTTTATTTCTTTAAAGAAGACTGGGTGCAAGCATTATAAGTTGACTTTACTTTTGGGAAAAATCAGTTTTTTGAGAATATCTAATGCTTCATATATTCTATCACCTACCTCGAATTACAAAACCAAAGGTATTGCCTTCTTTATGTAATGTGACCTCCACGGTACGGAAGATAACACTGGATCCTTGAACAGCTAAAAGCAGAAGAGAGGGAAATATAAGTTTTAAGTTATAATATCATTTCTAAACTTTTTAAGATAGCAAAAAATTATAGATCTCTGTTGCTAGTAGTTTTTGTTTTGAGTAATAAAATGGCAATAACTTCCTTTAAAGAAAATGTAACAACAACAACAAAAAAACAATTGGAATGTAAGAGACTAATACCCAAAATCATCATCTGCCCTAAGTGACTTATATAGATCCAAGTGGCATTAAAATCACAGGTATTTAATTTTCTTCTGTGTATCCAGTTTACAGATAGATAGAAGGTAATATTCACATTGTTAAAGCCTATATAACAAGCAAGATAAACTTCATGTGATAAATAGAAACCTCCCTTTGTACAATGTAAAAACAATGTGATTTTTGGGCCTCCCTGGTGGTGCAGGCAGTTGGGTGCAGTGCTATAAAGCTGTCTGCAGCGTCTGCAGCGCTGGTTAGATCCCCGCCGGCCTCGGAGTAACCCACATGGTGAACAGACCTCTCCTGTCTTGCCCGCTGCTCCCCACAGCAGTGTATTTTGTCAGTCTGCCTGTTCTGTTCCCCATTCTGTCTCTGTTGAATCCTCTCACCCTCCCACACATCTGGCCTGTACCCTGCTTCTTGTATAAATAAAATAAATCTTAAAAAAAATGTGATTTTTATAAAATTTATGCATTTTTAAATACTTTTGCAGTTAGCATAGGAAGAAAAAGTTTTACTCTCAGATTGCCACTAATTCACTTCTCACATGATACAGAGCAATTAAAGAAAAAACATGGAGGGGGGAAGGGGCGGAGCAACATGGCGGCGAGGAGACGCTGCGAGTAAGATCTCCCATTAAAAAAAGTGAATAGGGAGGAAAAGCGGCAGGTCCCAGTGAGAACTGGGACACGGAAGATAAACGGGTGACGCCAGCGAACTGCCCGAAGAAGAAACTGGCCATAAAAGAGGACTACAGGGGAGGGAAGCGCAGAACCCTGCTCCCCTCCCCCGCCCACAGAAGCGGCACTCTCCGACCGGCAGAGAGGAGGAAACAACAAACCAAAACGGCCCACAAGAACAAACGACGCAGCAAGCGGGACTGTGAGCAGAAAGGAACTATTGCAGCCACCACACCCCGTGAACAGGAGCTGAGGCGAACCCTGCAGGATCCGCCGCGGCGGTGAGCGAACGGCTCCGGGCGCCATTAGAGAAGAACAAAGACCCCGGGAGACACGCACACAGCCCGGGCTGCCGGTAAGCTGGCACGGGAAAGCGGCGCGCTTGGCGCGCTTGAAAAGCAAGTGCAGACCTGGATCGCGGCTGCCCAGGTCCCCGCGCCTGCGACCTAGGCTTGCGGGGAGACGACCTAGGCTTGCGGGGAGACGCACGGAGGTCCTCACTGAGGTGAAGGTCCCTCCCTGAGTGAGCAGGAACCAGGCGCCCAGGCACGGGAGCTGTGCAAAAGGCGCCATTCCCGCGCCACTGAACTGGGCTACAGCCCGCGTCCTGGAACTGAGGGCTTTGAACTGAGACCCAGGGCACGAAAATTCGGGGCGTGGTTTCTCCACGACGGTGGGGCACAAGGCAGACACAGCACCCTAAAGCTGTTGAGGTGTACCCTACCATTCCCGCTCTGTTCTCTGTCCCACGGGGTGGGGGGAGGCGAAAAACAGCCCCCCAAGGACAATAGGAGAGATCTCTGGCGCCACCTAGCGACCAGGAAAAAAAAAAGTCACTAACACCCTATAAAACAGGACATTTCTTAAGACTGCTTGAAAAGGGCAGAAGGTTTCTGGAGGACCCAGTGGCCAGCCGGGAAGTTATTCCACGCCAGGCCCCTTCCGACCAGCAGTCTGAGCCCACAGAGGGAGCAGGCACCCACGTCCGGGGCAGGCCGGGTGCGCAGAAGAGTGTGCCTGAAACCGGAGGCGCAGGGACTGCATCCCGCTTCGCCATTTGAGAACAGGGACATTTCTTCAGTAAAAACTGCCTAAAACCAGCAGAAAGCTCCCCCAGAAGACAGAGATGGCTCCTGGAAGAGCCAGAGGGGAGCGGAGAAGTTCACCCAAGATGTCAGTCAGTCCGAGCAACACAGTGTCCCAACGCATACGACAAATTAGAAAACAGACAGTAGGGAGTAGAAGAACCACACGCAACCTAAAAACTCCTCAGGAAAGAAGCACACCACAAAAAGAAAACCACTCCCCAGATTGCAACGACAGCAACTTGGAAGAACTTCTGAGCCTTCCAGAAAGAGAATTTAAAATTGCCATGATTAAAAAAGTGATAGATCAGAAGAAGGAAATTGAGTCCCTAAAGAGGGAAGTAAGAGAAATGCAGGAGATCAAAGAATTAATGGAGGAACTAAAGAACTCTGGGAAAAGCAATGAAAGCAGAATAGATGAAATGGAAGAACGAATAAGTAATCTTGAAGACACAGAAATAAAAAGAACCAAAACAGAAAAGGAAAGAGAAGTACGAAGAAAAAAGAATGAAGAAAGACTTCGGGAACTATCTGACTCCATGAGGAAAGGAAATATAAGAGTTATAGGAATTCCAGAAGGAGAGGAGAGAGATGTAGGAACAGAGAAAATATTCATGGATATAATTGAAGAGAACTTCCCAAATGAGAAGAAGGAGCTGAAAATTGATATACAAGAAGCAAGAAGAACACCAAACTTCCACGACGAAAGGAAAAACACAGCAAGACACATAATAGTAAAGCTCCCAAGAATCCAGGACAAGGAAAAAATAATGAAGCTGACAAGAGGGAAGAAACAGATAACATTCAAAGGAAAACCAATCAGGCTGACATCAGACTTCTCTGAAGAAACACTACGGGCAAGGAGAGAGTGGAGGGACATAGTCAACAGACTCCAAGAAAACAGATGCCAACCAAGAATACTCTATCCCGCAAAGCTCCCTTTCCTCCATGAAGAAAGAATATGGACCTTCCCAGACAAAGAGAAACTCCGGAATTTCATTGCGACTAAACCCCCACTCCAAAAAATACTACAAGGAATCCTAAAGCCAGAACCTCAGAGGGACGAATAACAACGAAAGAAGACCAAAAAAAAAAAAAAAAAAGTTATTAAAAGAATAAATAAATAAAATCAAAGGAAAGACAAACATAATGGCAAATACAGATGCTAACATATCAATATTAACTCTAAATGTAAATGGACTAAACTCTTCAATAAAAAGACACAGAGTTGCAGCCTGGATTAAGAAACAAAACCCAACCTTTTGCTGTCTCCAGGAAACACATTTAGCTACAAAAGATAAAAATAGGCTCAAAGTCAAAGGATGGAAAACAATCCTACAAGCAAATGGGCCAAAAAAGAAAGCAGGAACAGCTATACTTATATCAGATAAAACAGACTTCAAACTCAAAAAATAAAAAGAGACCCCAATGGTCACTACATTATGATTAAGGGGACAATACTTCAAGAAGAAATAACACTCATTAACATATACTCACCAAACGAAAGAGCACCAAAATATATCAGACAACTGTTGTCCTCTCTGAAAACAGACATCAGAGAAAACACATATGTAGTGGGAGACTTCAACACACCACTATCAACAATGGATAGATCAACAAGACAAAAAATAAGTAAAGAAACTAAAGCTCTAAATAAGGACCTAGAGCATTTGGGCTTAACAGACATCTATAGAACACTAAACCCAAAAAAAACGGAGTACATATTTTTCTCAAGCGCACACGGATCATTCTCCAGGATCGATCACATACTGGGGCACAAGACAAACATCAACAGATACACCAAGATTGAAATCATACCAACCATCTTTTCTGACCACGAAGGCATCAAACTAGAAATAAATCATAAAAAGAAGGCAAGGAACTATCCTACCTCATGGAGATTAAAAGCCACACTACTGGAAGACCACTGGACTAACGAGGAGATCAAAGAAGAAATTAAAAAATTCTTTGAATTGAATGACAAGGAGGAGGACACCAATATCCTAAATGTATGGGATGCAGCAAAAGCAGTAATAAGAGGAAAATATATAGCAATAGAAGCTCACATCAAAAAACAAGAAAGAACTCAAAGAAACAACCTAATCTCGAAGCTCAAAGATCTAGAAAAAGAACAACAAAAAAACCCAAAACCAGTAGAAGAAAAGAAATAATAAAACCAAAGCAGAAATAAATGAAATTGAAACTAAAAAAACAATCCAAAAGATCAATGAAACCAAGAGCTGGTTCTTTGAAAAAATAAATAAAATAGACAAACCCCTAGCCAGGCTCACAAAGGAAAAAAGGGAGAAAGCACAAATACACAGAATCATAAATGAAAGAGGAGAAATCACAACGGACACAGCAGAAATCAAAAGAATGATCAGTAACTACTATGAACAGTTATATGGAAACAAGTTCAACAATCTAGAGGAGATGGACAAATTCCTACAACTCTACAATCACCCAAAGCTAGATAAAGAAGAAATAGAACACCTAAACAGACCAATTACAAGCAGCGAAATTGAAATGGTAATTAAAAACCTCCCCAAAAACAAAAGCCCAGGACCTGATGGATTTACAAATGAATTCTACCAAACATTCAGAGACGAATTAGTGCCTATCCTTCACAAACTCTTCCAAAAAATTGAGAAGGAAGGGACAATACCAAACACGTTCTATGAAGCCAATATTACACTAATACCAAAACCGAATAAGGACAACACAAAAAAGGAAAACTACAGGCCAATCTCCCTAATGAACACTGATGCAAAAATCCTCAATAAAATTTTAGCTATCAGAATCCAACAATGTATCCATAAGATAATTCACCACGACCAAGTTGGATTCATTCCAGGGGCACAAGGATGGTTTAACATCCGAAAATCAATCAACGTTATCCAACACATCAACAAAAAGAAATATAAAAACCATATGATAATATCAATAGATGCTGAGAAAGCTTTCGACAAAGTGCAACACCCATTCATGATAAAAGCCCTTGAAATTCTTGGGATACAAGGAACATAC